TTCTTCATTAAAAATGATTAAAACGAAGAACTTAAAAATTAGTCTTTTTAATGCTGGGTCATTGGGAACAAAGCATGATGAGTTTCTGGTGGCCCTGGCTCGCATATCTCCCGACATACTTGCCATCAATGAAACGTGGCTCCGAACTGGTGAAGAGGGTCGTGCGCCCGCGCCACCGGGATACCGGCTTCGGCATGCCCCACGCCCGCCAACTATCGAACGTGAGCGTGGCGGGGTGGTGTTGGGTTTTATGTTAGGCAGGGTCTCGCTGTACGTATTGTTCCGCACCCTGTACCGGCATCACATGTGGATCAAATGTGGATCTGTTTGACTGCGTGCTCGACGCGTGTCCTTATAGGGACTGCTTACCGTCCACCCTGGCTTAATACTGAAACGTTTTTTGATGCACTAACGGACTCGCTATCTTCTTTCAATAATTTCGACCGAGTCATTCTGTTAGGCGATTTTAACATAGATTTAAACGATAAAAAAGACAGCAAATATAAGCAGCTTAACGATTTTTTGCACTATTTTAATTTGGTAAACTATGTTACAAAATCTACTCATTTTACCACACATAGTGAGACCATAATTGACCTACTCTGCACTGATACTACCGTTTTAAAAATCGACGTAGAACGCATTCAGGATCTGGGAGCCCATGCTCTCATTACAGCCTGTTTTAAAATAAAGAGAAACAAAATCCCTCGTAAAACAATAACTTATAGACCTATAAAATACATTAAACTCGATGATTTTGATGACGACTTGCTTCGTTTGAATCTTTGTGATGTGCTCAATTTGGACAACGTTGATGATATGGTGTCTGCGTTCTCGAGTCGTATTACTCTATTATTTGATGTACATGCACCTACTCGAACCATCACTATACGTGACCGACCAACCCCATGGATCACTAGCAATATCCGCTATCAAATGCAGATACGAGATGAGATTAGGGAGAGGTATCGCGTGACTGGCATAGTTGAGCACGATAAATATTACAGAGAGTAAAAAAAAAAATGTTAACATTTGCCTTTTTGCTGCTCATTTTTTGCATCAAATTTTTCGCTCGAAAAGCCTATTTTGAGCAATTTGTCAACAAAAATATTAAAATGCCTAAAGTTCTCTGGAGGAACCTAAAAAGCACAGTTCTACCTAATTCCAAAACCTATCAAGAGCTGCCACAACATCTTCTTGACCCACAAAAAATCAACTCGCATTTCATGAATGTATCAGGTACTAATAATGTTGTATCATCTGATATTTTCTACTTTAAATCCCATAGACATGGTTCTTCTGTATTTCATATAGAACCAGTTACGGAGAATACAGTGGGTAAGGTCATTCTTAGTATTAAGTCCAATGCTCAAGGAGCTGACCGCCTCAGTAGGGATATGCTATTGCTCACATTGCCTCACTCTCTGCCAATTATCACTTGCATGATCAATAAATCCATTGTTACTGGCAAATTCCCGGCTGCATGGAAAACTGCCCTCGTAAAACCAATCCCTAAAGTTGCTAACCCTAGCGAATTAAAAGATTTACGCCCCATTAGTCTACTTCCTTATCTATCAAAAATTCTGGAAAAGGTTGTTTTTGATCAACTTTCAAAATATTGTGAATCTCATGACATCTTACCTGAATTACAGTCTGGTTTTAGAAAGGGACGTAGTACGGCGACGGCATTGCTTGATGTTGTTGACAACATACTCTCTAATCAAGATAAAGGCAAAGCAACTATCCTCCTTTTACTGGACTACTCAAGGGCATTTGATTGCATTGATCACCAACTTCTTCTTTCCAAAATGGCGTTCTACGGGTTTGATGATTCTACAACAGCATGGTTTGGCTCGTATTTGGGGGATCGTGCGCAACGTGTTGAGATCTGTGCTGCAGACGGTTCTACCTTAGTTTCGCAGGAGGCGCGTGTAAGCAGAGGAGTGCCTCAGGGATCTATATTGGGTCCTCTTCTGTTTATACTCTACACTTCCGATATAACAAGTTCTATCAAACACTCTCAGTACCACTTATACGCAGATGATCTTCAGGTTTATATACCCGTAGGTACCCATGATTTCAGCGAGACAATTAAGGCACTGAATGAAGATCTTGCGAGTATCGTAGCGTGGTCTTCGAGAAATTGTTTGGTGCTTAATCCTCAAAAAACAAAATACATCGTTTTGGGCTCGTGTAAACAAATTGCAAGGATTGTTGATCTAAATCCCACTATAAATATATCAGGTGTAAATATTGAACGGGTGGAGGAGGCTCGTAATTTGGGTATTTTGATGGATGGTGGGCTGCGTTTCCAACATTATTTGCTAGAGACGGTGCGTAACTGCTTTTATCGTCTTAAAGTATTATACAGAATTCGAGATCTCATAAATTTGGATTTGAGGGTGATGCTTTGTGATGCACTAGTACTATCTAAACTAAATTACTGCGTTACCGTGTATGGGTCCTGCGTTACAAAAAAATCCCAAAAATTGATTCAGCGTGTGCAAAATGCCTGTGCAAGATACTGTTTTAGAATACCACCACGTACCCATGTCGCGCCATATCTTCAATCTTTTAAAGTTCTAAACATGAGCGAACGTCAAAAACTATACACTGCGACTCTGCTATTTGGAATCATAAAGAACCAAGTACCATCTTACCTTTATAAAAAACTAAAATGGCGTTCAAATAGACAAGTCATGCCGTTTAGAACGTGCGTCCCGCCGCTCATTGTTCCCACCGGCTGCTTTCCGTGGTTGTTTCAAATACAATGCGACCAAAATATGGAATGACATACCACCCCCCATTAGAAATCTTACCTCAATCTACTCTTTTAAATTTTCATTAAAAAAATATATTCTACAAAATAATTTCGCGAGTATTTGAAACAGGCGCCATAAGTTCAAATGAAATAAAATCAAATAAAATAAATAAATAAAAAATAAAATATGTTATGTTATTTTAAATAGAGTTATAAAAATGAAATTAATATAGTAGGCCGTATCTAGTATTGGCAGCGAGCGTAGTTAGCGAATACATCTGCGGTAGCGCATATAGTTGTTCACATTAGATTGTATTCCGTTTTGTTATTTTTTGGATGACGGTAGAATTTTATTTGTTTGTTTTTATTTGTTTTTTAAATGTGTATTGTATGTGTGTTGTGCATGTGTATACGTATATTTTATTTTGTATTATATTATATTTCATATACAGTTAATATCATAATTATAATTATATTCATACACACTGACACAGTTTCAATTCGTTAATATGAATCTTCTCTTCTTTTTACCGGCTCATTTAGGACCTAGCAGAATCACCAGGGTCGTAATTCTACTGAGCTGCGACATAATGCTGAGTTGGGTCCTTTTTGCTGGCACAGTACACGCAAATCTACACTCCACACAATATAACACTCCACATCAAGTATAGACTAGTTTGTTTTTCTTTTTTATTATTATTTTTTAATTCTACTATTGTACCTTTGTTGTAAGTTTGTTTTTGTAATGTACTGTGTTTCGGCAAATAAACGAATTATCTATCTATCTATCTAAAATTAAAAAAGCTACTATCACCTTCGGGCAGTGCCGTAGAATGGTGGGTAAACAATGGAGACTTTCACCCAAGATAACACTATGGCTCTACACCGCGGTGATAAGACCCATGATCAGTTACGGCGCGGTAGTATGGTGGCCACGAACCAAGCTGACAACCGTAACCGACAAGCTGGACAAATTCCAAAGACTCGCCTGCATGGCGACGACCGGCTGCATGAGGACAACTCCAACTGCGGCCCTCGAAGCAAAGCTGGACCTTCGACCCCTCCCACTGTTCATCAGACAGGAAGCGGCGTCAACAGCAGTGCGTCTAAACAGAGCCGGCCTTTGGAAGCACATGAGGACCCCGCACACAGAAATCCTTTACAAGACTGTCAATGAGGAACCGCTACTGGAGGCGGTTGGTTGTGGATAGGATCCCAAAACAATACATCTTTGACAAAAAATACAAGATACAATTATTTGAAGATCCCAACGAAGGACTGAATCCCAGAGAGGTCCGAGTCTTCACTGACGGATCTAAAACAAACTCAGGAACAGGTACTGGGGTATTCTCAGAAGACCTCAATATTAGGATATCAGCACCGCTTGGTGACCACAACACAGTATTCCAGGCTGAATGCATGAGTATCAAGTTGGCGGCAGAAGCAATCATAGCGAGAAGAGTAAAGAACTACTCCATTCGAATACTCTCCGACAGTATGTCAGTATTTCAAGCACTGAATAGCTATGACATAAACTCAGGGCTCATTTACGAATGCCATCAAGCACTCATGGAGGTATGTATACAAAACCACGTAACTCTTCAGTGGATTAAAGGACACAGCGGCTCACGTGGCAATGATGCAGCAGGTGAACTAGCCAGGAAAGGGTCGGAGACGGACGCTGTAGGACCAGAACCGATAGTGTCTGTTCAAGTTACTATAGATGTTTAAGTATACTTAGTTATAGATATAGAGGTAGATACAGTCCACAGAAAATGTATAAGTCAGTTGAGAATAAAGGAGCACACAAAACACACGTTTGTTTATTTGAAGATAATCCCTACAAACCAAAGTCACCCTTATTAGCGTTAACATATGGTCCAGATCGAGTCGGATTGCATTCCAACTGTCGTCGAGTGGTCGGCCTACGAAAACAATAGCCGGCCGGCAACGAGCAACCTGTTTTTAAAAAAAAAAAAAAAAAAAAAAAAAAGAATGACTCGGCGAACGGCGAATTATTAATTTTTCTAGTGAAATTGCGATTACGTGTAAACAACATTAACTTTAAGTGTTAAAAAACGAGTATTTATAAGTGATTTTGAGACTTTTCGTATTAGTACGTTGAGTGAGTGAATTACTATAACGAACTGAACAAACCAAGTTTACGAGATATTTCAATTTAATTAATTGTTAACTTACGTATGTACTGTTTGTTGGGATTGTTAAAAAGTGAGTCATTATGCCTAAATTGGAGGAGTTCATTAGGTATCAAGAAGAGTTGTTAGACAATCTAAAGAGTGGAGAAAAGAACTTCAAGAAAACACCTAAAGATCGAATTAAACGGCCTTATTTAGAAACTAGACTTGAAGTCCTCGAGCAACAGTTTAAAGATTTTAAAAACGGACATAAAACCGTAATTTCGTATGCCTCGAAAGAAAGAAATGAATCATATTTTACTCAGAATAAGTATGAAGAATTTGAGGAATTGTATATACAATATAAAACCGTTTTACTTGAAGCTTTGGAACAATTTTCGACTTCAATTACACAACCGTCTGACGTCAAATTACCTCGAATAAACTTACCTACCTTTAGTGGCAAATATGAAGAGTGGCAAACGTTTTACGATATGTTTTCTTCGTTGATTCATAAGAACAAGAATATTACGTCTGTTCAAAAATTGCATTATTTAAAGGGCAATTTGTCAGGAGAAGCGCAGAATCTATTACGTAATTTTTCAACTACAGAGGCAAATTATGAAGAGGCTTGGAAACAATTAGTTCGACGGTATGATAATAAGCGGTATAACTGTAATGCTGTTTTGAGAGATTTATTTGCAACGAAGAAAATAAATTGTGAGTCTGCTAATGCAGTGAGGCATTTATTAGATACCACATCAACCTGCTTGAAATCATTACAGAATATGGGCATAAGCACTAGCTCATGGAACGTCATTATTGTGTTTTTAGTAACTTCAAAGTTGGACACTGAGTCTATGAAACAGTGGGAGCAGCATCTAAATAGCTTCGGCAGTGAACTACCTACATGGGATCAATTACGAGAATATTTGGAATATAGATTTAGGTCATTAGAGATGATTGACACTAATGCGTCTCGCGCAACACAGGCATCTAAACCTGTAGTAAAAGCTAAAACGTTTCATACGTCAATTGAACAAAAAAATAAAACCAGTGACGTCGACTGTGCTATGTGCCATGAGAACCACTACATTTATTACTGCAAGCAATTCGGGCTCATGACGCCCAAGCAACGACAAGATTTTGTACAAAACAATAAACTGTGTTTTAACTGCCTGTCGCCTACTCATTCGGTACTGAAATGTCGGCAGTCATTGAGTTGCAGGAAATGTGCAAGGAGACATCACACCTTACTACATTTTGAGCGAGAAAGTAAAGAGAAGAACCAGGAGAACAGAGCAACAGGCGAAGTAGCGGCGCTGTCGTCACCGAGTGGAACCACACACGAGACACCGAGCACGTCACGAGGTGACACACACATTACAGCGGCGTTTTCGAGAGATGTGCTTCAACCCAACAGCGTACTATTAGCGACTGCTAGAGTTAAGGTATTTAATTCGAATGGTTGTAAACAAACTATTAGAGCTTTACTTGATCAGGGGTCTCAAGCTTCCTTTGTTACCGAAAGTACTGTACAATTTCTTAAACTTACACGTAAACCGGTAAGTGGTTTTGTGTCAGGGCTGGGAGATGGTCGCACGAGGATCAAACACACGGTTTCACTTCGCGTGGAATCACGCCATAACTCAGAGAGTTCAATCTACGTAAATGCTTATGTATTACATTCTTTAACGTCCTTGCTTCCAGCAAACAAGGTTAGCGTGCCAGAGTGGTCAGATATTGGAAATCTACCTTTAGCTGATCCGACATATACAACTCCAGGTAAAATTGATATCCTTCTGGGTGCAGAGGTGTATGGCAAAATATTGCTAGATGGAATTTTCAAACAATCAGAAGGAAGCTTAATAGCACAGAATACTATCTTTGGATGGATTTTGTCTGGAAAAACAGTGAGTGGATTTGAAGCGGAAACAAAAGCCAATTTCACTAGCATGCACGTACAAATTAATGAAGATGAATTATTGAAGAAGTTTTGGGAAATGGAGAATGAGCCTAACATGATTAAAAACGAGATGACCAAGAGTGAGAAACAATGTGAAGATTTCTTTGATTCAACAACAGTGAGAGATGACCTAGGCAGATTCGTAGTAAGATTACCATTCGCCACAGAAGACCCTAAAAGTCAATATGGTCATTCGAAGGAGATAGCTATAAAGAGACTAGAGATTTTAGAGAGAAAATTGCAGAGAGAGCCCAACCTTAGAGATGAGTATAATAAGGTTATGGAAGAGTACTTGAGTTTAAATCACATGAGACCTGTCAGAGCGATTGAGTTACAGAATCCAAAAGCAGTATATCTTCCTCATCATGCCGTAGTTAGGGAAGATAAAGAGACCACAAGGGTGAGAGTCGTCTTCGATGCGTCGAGCAAGGGAGATAATGACTTTTCCCTGAACGATGACCTTCTTGTTGGACCAAAATTACAACAAGACTTGAGACACATTTTAATGAGATGGAGAAGTCACAAGGTGTGTGTTGTGGCAGATATAATTAAAATGTACAGAATGGTTCGTGTTGCTGAGGAAGATACTGATTTTCAGAGAATAGTATGGAGATTTAATTCAGGTGAGCCTATACAACATTTTAAACTATTGAGACTGACGTTTGGGACAGCCTGTGCGCCGTATTTGGCTGTGAAATCGTTACAAAGACTTGCCGAGTTGGAACAAGCAAAGTATCCATTGGCTGCGAGAATAACAAAACAAGATTTTTACATGGATGATTTAATTACAGGAGCGGAAACGGAAACTGATGCATTAAATATAGTTGATGAGATGAACAAGTTAATGAAAGCCGGTGGATTTGAACTTCAAAAATGGAATAGCAACTGTGAAACATTACTACAGAAATTTGGAAGAAGTAAAGAGCGAGATAATCAGTCAGTGCACATAAAATTAAATAAATCAATGAAGGTTCTTGGCGTGACTTGGAACAGGGAGAATGACAACTTTGAATATACGCTCAATCTATCTGAATTTAAAGAGCCAATCACAAAGAGACGAGTACTCGCGGATGTAGCGAGATTGTATGATCCACTGGGATGGATTGCTCCAGTGGTAGTCGTTGCCAAAATGTTTATCCAGAAACTATGGAAATCGGGTCTTAAGTGGGACGATTCCTTGACGAAGGATTTATTGAATGAGTGGGTGATATACAGAGATGAATTGGTCGATCTAAAGCAGCTAACAATACCAAGATGGTTAAATGCTTTGCGGAGTTCCAAAAGAGAGTTACACGTCTTTTCAGACGCTTCGAAGTCAGCCTTTGCGGCAGCAGTGTACGTTCGAGTCATTGATGAATTAAACAATGTACATGTACACTTAGTAACAGCCAAAACGAAGGTCGCCCCTACTGAAAAGGAAATATCAATCCCGAGACTTGAGTTGTGTGCAGCAACATTAGGAGCTAAACTCATATTTGAAGTCGCACAGGTGATGGAGATACCTAAGGAGAATTTGTACGGCTGGACGGACTCCACCATTGTACTAGCTTGGCTCAAAGGAGGTTCATCTCGTTGGACTACATTTGTGAGTAACCGAGTGTCCACAATATTAAATACTATGGATGTTGAGCAATGGGATCATGTACCAACTGAGTGTAACCCTGCGGATTGCGCATCTAGAGGTTTACAACCCAAGGAACTACTGGATCATCCATTATGGTGGAGTGGTCCGCAGTGGCTAGCAAAACCTAAACTAGAGACAACCAACATGACTGTGGAAGATACACACGAGGAGGAAAGACTCACATCTTTGACTGTTTTATCCCACATTAATGAGGAATCATCAATTTGGTTGCGGTTTTCGTCATTGTCTAGATTGTTAAGGGTTATTTCATACTGTAGAAGAGTATTAAATTTCAAATTGCCAAAAAATAAGAGATTAACATTACCAATTTTTGTAACTTCAGAGGAAATAAATAATACTTTACTTTCATGCATTAAACAGGTTCAAAATTGCGAGTTTTCGGTAGAAATAGAACAGTTAAAGAGTAGAGGAGTTGTACCTAGGAAAAGTAGCCTTCGCACACTTTGTCCTTTTTTCGATGAAAACGGGACATTAAGAGTGAGTGGACGAATCGTACAGTCGGACACATCTTACGATACGAGACATCCAATAATTGTGCCTGCTAAAAATCATTTTACCAAGCTTATAATTGTTGATGCTCATCATCGAACATTACATGGCGGTCCCCAAACTATGCTAAACTTCTTGAGAGCCAAATACTGGATTTTACATGCCAAGGATCGTGTCAAGAAGATCTACAGAGAATGTACAACATGCTTGAGATATTCGACGAAGAAGTCTACACCACTAATGGGACTCCTTCCTGCAGCGAGACTTAAACCGAGTAAACCATTTAAGTCTACAGGAGTGGATTACTGTGGTCCCATTAATATAAGGTTCTCACCGGGCAGAGGAGCAAAATCGTATAAAGGTTACATATGCCTGTTCGTGTGCATGGTAACCCGTGCAATCCATCTCGAAGCAGTTACGGACTTGACAGCCAAAGGTTTCATTGCAGCCTTCCGTCGTTTTACTGCTCGAAGAGGTCACTGTCAAGATTTATATAGCGACAACGGTACTAATTTCATCGGTGCAGATAGAGAAATGCGAAACATGTTTAATAGTGCCAAGTCATCACTACCTGATGAAATAGCGGCTTTGCTCACGTTGGAGCATACAACATGGCACTTCATACCCCCTCACGCACCCAATTTTGGAGGGCTTTGGGAAGCGGGAGTACGTAGCACCAAGGGACATTTACGTAAGGTAGTGGGAAACAACACCCTTACTTATGAGGAGATGGCGACAGTCCTGGCGCAAGTGGAAGCATGTTTGAATTCACGGCCTATAACGTTACTGAGCGATGATCCAAACGATCCTCTCCCCTTGACACCGGGTCACTTTTTGGTGGGTGAACCGTTGTTAAACATAGCCGATGAAAATCTTACTAATTGTAATGTAATTGGTTTGGATAGATGGCGTTTAACGCAAAAAATTGTAACTGATTTTTGGAATAGATGGTATAAGGAATATTTAGTAAATCTTAATCAGAGATATAAATGGAATAATAAATGTACTAATGAGCCTGAACTTGACGATGTTGTTGTTTTGAAAGAGGACAATATTCCTCCTGCTAAATGGATTTTAGGTAAAGTTATACAGAAACATACCGGACCTGATAATATAACGAGAGTTGTCACGGTTAAATGTAAATCTGGAATATTCAAGCGTCCTGTTAGTAAACTTTGTGTAATAACAAAATAAAATTAAGTTGTATGATTGTATTTAAGGTTACGGTTTTTTTTTTGGTTTATTGCTTTTGTCATTTTTGTTATATGTATAATTTTGCTTATGTTAATAAAGAACGATGTTCTTGTGGGGCGGGATGTTCAAGTTACTATAGATGTTTAAGTATACTTAGTTATAGATATAGAGGTAGATACAGTCCACAGAAAATGTATAAGTCAGTTGAGAATAAAGGAGCACACAAAACACACGTTTGTTTATTTGAAGATAATCCCTACAAACCAAAGTCACCCTTATTAGCGTTAACAGTGTCCCTCCCCTGCCAATGGTCCAGAACAACTATACACAAAGGTA